CATTTTGGCCTAAATTTATAACCAACTTTGAGTTTACTATATATTTTTTATAGCTGAAAGTAAAAAATATCGTTCTTCTTCAAAATTTTTGGCCTTTTTTTGTTTATAGCGTGAAAAATAAAAAGCGCACAGGTGATCAAATACCACCGAAAGAAAGCTCTATTTGTGTGAAAAAAGGACGTAAATTTCGTTTGGGTGCAGCATTGCATGACTGCACAGTTATCAGTTGAATTAGTGCAGCACAGAGTAGCAAAAAGAGGCCTGGTCATTAAGTGGGGTAAATCCTCTGGAGGGCAAGTGGTTAAGCACCGCCTGGCGGCGTCTCTAGCAGCCCATAGCACTGGGTTCCTCAGGGCGCGGGGTCTAAGTCCCAATCTGCTTATTCACCAGAGCCCCTGATGGTGGGGATAGACTTGGAGCAGACTGAGACCAGGTCGCGACCCCTGAGTACGTCCGGCAATGGTAGAGAGCATGCTCAAAAGTGTGCGGGGAAAGGAGCCTGACGTGAAGAGGCTGGCAGACCTGGTAACAGGGACAGATCCGTGCGGGATGGATGGATCGTCTGGGTAGCGTAAGGCGTAGTCAGGCAGGCCAGGTCAGCAACGTGCGGGCAGCGAGGTACCGGAGGAGCAGGCAGAGAATGGTCAGGGTCACAAGCCGGGTACAGTAACTCACGGGCAACGCGGTACAGAGGAGCAGGCAGAAGGATGGTCAAGCAAGCCAGGGGTTAAACAGGAGACGGTCAGCAGGGTCAGGAACAATGCAGAGGTCAGCAACAGATGATTCACAGGATACCAGGTACAGGGGCTCATGGGAAACAAACACCAAGGCACTGATTGCAGGCTGGGTCCTGCTTAAATAGACCTCCTGCAATCAGCTTCAGGTGATGGCTTCATTGCAGGAGTGAGACCCTGGCTGCTGAAAGCACCCTCTGGTAGGAGCTGGTACTGCAGCCCACAGAGCAAGTGAGCCACAGCACCACCAATGGTGAGTCCATTCCTGACACCCTAGAACAGGCGTTTGTGACAGTCCCTTTGGCTTTTGTCCCAAGGACCTGACAGTCACACTGGAGGTCTATCCTCCTTCTGGCACATCTACTGATTTGGGCGATTTTATGTACCTTTTGAGTAGCCTGCTCAGCTTCTCTAGTCTCCTCAACTCTGGGCCCTCTTTCCACACTTCAACAGAATCTTGGCTTTGCTCCTGGCCTCTCTAAGACGTTCTTGCTTGCCGTATGGCCAGACTCCCCCCGTCTTTATTCTTTATTAACTTGTCAATTGTTCCACAAGAACAATTCCTTGACTGGCTCATTTCCAAGAGGTCACTATCCCCCGATGGACCTACTTTCAAATACATCATTCCTTACAATCTTTGGCATGCAAACAGTCCTGTATTAGACCTTTTGTGCCATTTGAGGCCATTTTCTCCAGGCGCTCCCCACAGCAGCATATGGTCTCTGATATCCACGTTATTTTGTTTGCTGGAAAGTCACACAGGGAGGGACCTGCTTGAAAAGCGTGGCAAGGCACTGGATGAACAGGCCTGGGAACATATAAATACGGCCATTCACAAGAGCTCTCTTAATGTCAGCATCCAAGAGAAGGCTTATAAAATTATCACCAGGTGGTACAAGGTGCCTATAATGCTTCACAAAAAGTCGCTGGCTATCTCAGGTCAGGTCAGGCTCAGGTGTTGTCAGTCGGAGGAGGGGTCCTTTCTTCATGTACTGTATGGTGGTCCTCTGTGGGCTTGTTTCACTTCTGGTGGCAGGTCCATGACCACATAGCCCAGGTGACTGAGTCTACCTTGGACTTTACACCTGAACAATATCTTCTTTACGTAAACCAACAAACAACTTGGACTTAGATGTCCGAGTTACCCAGATGTGCATTCCTATTGACTGGAGAGAGTTCTGGGAATCATTTCTGCATTTAAATGAACTAGAAGAACTTATCCATATATTCCAGGATAGAATGTCCTCTTGGGCAGGCTAGATTCACTTTACGACTACTTCTCCATATATGCAGGTCATGCCTCTGCTCTCTCATGCTGATTGGCTAATACCATTCTATTTTCGTTGGTTGGCCAGGAAATGCAGAATTGGTGGAGCTGGTACTGGTGGATCACTGGGGTGGGAGGGGCTCTGACCATTGGAGTGCACTCTTGGGTGGGCTCTAGCGCACAACTTTCTGTGGGTTGGGTGTACAGGATGTATGGGGTGTACAGAATGTATGGGGTGTACAAGGTGTAAGGGGTGTACGGGATGTATGGGGTGTACAAGGTGTACGGGGTGTATGCAGGTCATGTCTCTGGTCTCATGCTGATTGGCTAATACCATTCCATTTTTGTTGCTGGCCGGGAAATGTGGAATTGGTGGAGCTAGTACTGGTGGATCACTGGGGGTGGGAGGGGCTCTGACCATTGGAATGCACTCTTGGGTGGGCTCTAGCTCACAGCTTTCTGTGGGTTGGGTGTATGGGATGTACTGGATGTATGGGGTGTACAAGGTGTACGGGATGTATGGGGTGTACAAGGTGTACGGGGTGTATGCAGGTCTGGTCTCATGCTGATTGGCTAATACTATTTAATTTTTGTTGGTGGCCAGGAAATAAGGAATTGGTGGAGCTAGTACTGGTGGATCACTGGGGGGTGGGAGGGGTTCTGACCATTGGAGTGCACTCTTGGGTGGGCTGTAGCGCACAACTTTCTGTGGGTTGGGAGTACAGGATGTATGGGGTGTACGGGATGTATGGGGTGTACGGGATATATGGGGTGTAGAAGGTGTGTCGGATGTATAGGGTGTACAGGATGTACGGGATATATGGGGTGTATGGGATATATGGGGTGTACGGGATGTATAGGGTGTACAGGATGTATGGGGTGTACGGGATGTATGAGGTGTAGGGGATGTACGGGCTGTACGGGATGTATGGGGTGTACGGGATGTACGGGATATACAGGATGTATGGGGTGTACGGGATGTACAAGGTGTATGGAGTGTACGGGATGTACAGGATGTATGAGGTGTACGGGATGTACAAGGTGTATGGGGTGTATGAGGTGTATGGGATGTACAGGGTGTATGGGGTGTACGGGATGTACAACGTGTATGGGGTGTATGGGATGTACAGGATGTATGGGGTGTACGGGATGTACAAGGTGTATGGGGTGTACGGGATGTACAAGGTGTATGGGGTGTATAAGGTGTATGGGATGTACAGGATGTATGGGGTGTATGGGATGTACAGGATGTATGGGGTGTACGAGATGTACAAGGTGTATGGGATGTACAGTCAAGCAGATATACTGTCAGGAAGCTTCGATGAACTACCATGCCTCTCCACAGCCCCGCGGTAGTTCATTGAAAACTACAAGCCGCTAAGGCTGTCGGGACTTGCAGTTCATTCACTCACAGAAGTCCATGAATAAATGATGCGGGCCGCGTTGGGCAGAGCCCCGCACAGTCGCGCTGTTCTCAAATTTGACAGATAGTATGGGGCGACTTCTACCCGTATTATCTGTCAGAGGGAGGGGGGCAGCAATGGGAACATGTTACATGTTCCACCCTAAAAACGTGTGGAGCATCTGACATGTTCCCAAAGGTGAACGTATCCTTTAATCCTGGGAGTCCTGTTCATGAAGGAAATGGTGGACCAGCTATAACAGAGGTCAGGTGACTTTCATTGCACCCCCATTGTATACAGATCGTTGTCTCTATCCTTGAGGTAGGACAGAGAGAGATGGCTGTTTAATCACACGCAACCTCGTAACAGAAAACTACTAACACACAAGATTGATATTAGATTTTCATTTTTATTAGGTAAATATCAAATGTTGCATCTAGAAATGTCACATTTTCCACTATCAGCCAGCAGGTGGCGCTCTCCAATCAAATGAAGCTGCCTGTGATGGCCAGTGACTACTGTACTGAAATGGACAGTCCTGTCATGTAGTCTTATCTCCCCTTCTCTTCATCCACAAGCAATATCTAGCTCCTCCCTCATCATGATATCCTCCATGGAAACTTCTGCTGAAAGTCAGGGGAGATCAGACTACACTGCTAGAGGGACCCAACAAGCAGTGACTCCTCCCCCCCTTCTCTCTCACCATGATGTCCTCCATGGAAGCTTCTGCTGAAGGTCAGGGGAGATCAGACTACACTGCGAGAGGGACCCAATCAGCAGTGACCCCCCCAGCAGAGGAAACCAGACAAAACTTTGAAGTCTTCAGTGATCTCTGATCTCCTTATAAAGTGTTTCTTCCATGATAAAGATTAGAGGAGCGCTCAGCCACGTGTTTTCTGAGGTGTATATCAAGGTGTGCTTCTTCTTCCAGTGTGAGATCTCTGATGTACGGCAACATATCATCCATAAAGAAGACATTTCCCGCAGGAAATGTATTAGGACACTAATACACCTAGAGGGAGGTGTGAGTTCTCTGATGTCTGGTAAGACAAGACTTCCATGAAAAACATTTCCCGCACTCAGGATAGAAATACAGCTTCTGAGATTTCTGATGCTTGTCTGATTTTTGTGGATGAAAACTTCCTGCACTCCGGGCAGAACAACAGCTTTTTCCCCTGCATAGCATATCTGATATTCAGTAAGATTGGACCTTCATGAAGGGGATTATTTTATTACTGAGAAGCCATGCATCTACTCACCTGTGTGAGACCTGCTGTGTTTGTTAAATTCGTACTTACGTGAAAAAACATTTCCCGCACTCAGGGCAGGAATACGGCTTCTCCCCCGTGTGAGATCTTTGATGTTTCACAAGGTCTGATTTCTGTAAAAAACATTTCCCGCACTGAGGACAGGGATACGGTTTTTCACCCGTGTGAGATCTCCGATGTATTTTCAGATGAGAATTCTGTGAAAAACATTTCCCGCACTCAGGGCAGGAATACGCCTTCTCACCCGTGTGGGTTGTCTGATGTTGTAGAAGGCCTGCTTTTTGTGTAAAACATTTTCCACACTCAGGGCAGGAATACGGCTTTTCACCCGTGTGAGTCCGCTCATGTGTATTAAGATGGTGTCTCTGGGAAAAACATTTCCCGCACTCAGGGCAGGAATATGTCTTCTCACCCGTGTGAGTTCTTCGATGTTTTATAAGGCCTGATTTTAATCTAAAATACTTTCCACACTCCAGGCAGAAATGTGGTTTCTCACCCGTGTGAGATGTCAGATGGTTGTTTAGATGGGACTTGAGAGAAAAACATTTCCCGCACTCAGGGCAAGAATACGGCTTTTCTCCTGTATGAGATCTGTGATGTTTAACAAGTTCTTGTTTTTGTAAAAAACATTTCCCGCACTCAGGGCAGGAATACGGCTTCTCCCCTGTGTGAAATCTTTGATGTTTAACAAGGTATGATTTCTGTGAAAAACATTTCCCGCACTCGGGGCAGGAATACGCCTTCTCACCCGTGTGAATTCTATGGTGTTTTACAAGGTCTGATTTTTCTGTAAAACATTTCCCGCACTCAGGACAGGAATACGGCTTTTCACCAGTGTGAGACCTCTGATGAGAAATAAGATGGACTTTCTGTGAAAAACATTTCCCGCACTCCGGGCAGGAAAATGGCTTCTCCCCCGTGTGAGTTCTTTGATGTTTTGCCACGTTCGATTTTATCGCAAAACATTTCCCGCAATCAGGACAGGGATACGGCTTCTCCCCCGTGTGAGTTCTCTGATGTAAAACAAAATCATATCTTCGCGGAAAACATTTCCCGCACTGGGGGCAGGCATGTATCTTCTCACCCGTGTGCAATCCCTGATGTTCAGAAAGGAAGGACTTCAGTGAAAAACATTTCCCGCCTTCCTCCATGTGATCTCCTGGGATGTCCTCATCTTCCATTTTACAACCTAGAGATAAAGTGAGACAATCCTTTGAGGGGTGTTTCCAACCTCCTGAAGCTAAATTCACTGACAGGACTACTTATTTACTGAGAGAGTCACATTTTTTTTACTGACAGTTCAAGAGTACATAAAATGACTGATTTTGGAGCAGATATCAAAATGTAAGCTTCAATCATGTACAGTGTAAGGGGGAACACTGCAGATCCTGATGTAAAGGGGAACTCTGTGGACTCTGATGTAAAGGGGAACTCTGTGGACTCTGATGTAAAGGGGAACTCTGCAGACTCTGATGTAAAGGGGAACTCTGTCGACCCTGATGTAAAGGGAAATTCTGATGTAAGAGAGTCTCTGGTTATCAGAGCCCCCTCTATCCTTACACAAGATTCCACAGAGTTCCTTCTTACATCAGAGGCTGCAGGACTTCCCCTTACAGTGCAAAAGGGAACTCTGCGGACCCTGATATAAAAGGGGAATGCAGCAGATCCTCTGTAAAGGGAAATTCTGATGTAAGGGAGTCTCTGGTTACCAGAGCCCCCTCTATCCTTACACAAGATTCCACAAAGTTCCTCCTTACATCAGAAGCTGCAGGACTCCCCCTTACAGTGTAAGGGGGAACTCTGCAGACCCTGATACAAAAGGGAAACACTGTAGATCATCTGGGATGTAAAGGGAAACTGATGTAAGAGAGTCTCTGATCAACAGAGCCCCCTCTTTTATTACACAAGATTCCACAGAGTTCCTCCTTACATCAGAGGCTGCAGTACTCCCACCTTACAGTGTAAGGGGGAACTCTGCGGACCCTGATGTAAAGTGGAACACTGCAGATCGTCTGGGATGTAAAGGGAAACACTGACGTATGGGAGTCTCTGATTACCAGAGCCCCCTCTATCCGTACACCAGATTCCACAGAGTTCCTCCTTACATCAGAAGCTGCAGGACTCCCCACCTTACAGTGTAAGGGGGAACTCTGCGGACCCTGATGTAAAGGGGAACTCTGCGGACCATGATGTAAAGGGGAACACTGCGGACCCTGATGTAAATGGGAACACTGCGGACCCTGATGTAAAGGGGAACACTGCGGACCCTGATGTAAAGGGGAACACTGCGGACCCTGATGTAAAGGGGAACACTGCGGACCCTGATGTAACAGGGAACTCTGCGGACCCTGATGTAACGGGGAACGCTGCGGACCCTGATGTAAAGGGAAATACTACAGATCGTCTGGGATGTAAAGGGAAACTCTGACGTATGGGAGTTTCTGATCACCAGAGCCCCCTCTATCCGTACACGATTCCACAGAGTTCCTCCTTACATCAGACGCTGCAGAACTCCCCCTTACAGTGTAAAGGGGAACTCTGCGGACCCTGATGTAACAGGGAACTCTGCGGACCCTGATGTAAAGGGGAACACTGCAGACCCTGATGTAAAGGGGAACACTGCGGACCCTGATGTAAAGGGAAATACAGCAGATCGTCTGGGATGTAAAGGGAAACTCTGACGTATGGGAGTCTCTGATTACCAGAGCCCCCTCTATCCTTACACATGATTCCACAGAGTTCCTCCTTACATCAGAGACTGCAGGATTTTCCCCTTACAGTGCAAAGGGGAACTCTACGGACCCTGACATGAAGGGGAACTCTGCGGATCATGATGTGGGGGGGGATGCTGTGCACTCTGGTATAAAGGGGAACTCTGATGTAAGGTGGTCCCTGGTCGCCATAGAGCCCCTTGCAAAGGGGAACGCTGCAGACTCTGATGTAAGGGGCTCTCTGGCGACCAAGGACCACCTTACATCAGAGTTCCCCTTTATACCAGAGTGCACAGCATCCCTCCCCCCCACATCATGATCCGCAGAGTTCCCCTTTGCACTGTAAGAGGAAAATCCTGCAGTCTCTGATGTAAAGGGGAACTCTAAGGACACAATTTAAGGAGAACGCTGATGTGGGGGGGGGGGGGGGGACTCTGGTGACCACAGACCACCTTTTGAATACACTAAGGAAAGGGGGGGTTACTCCTATAAGGGGGAACATTTATATCAGTGACCCCCCCCCCCCCCCACACACACACACAGACTGTGTGGCTTGGGCAACTGGAGAAGCCGCTGACCTGACTTCTCCATAGGACCGCTTAGGTGCAGGGCAGTGGAGGCACTGAGGGCAGGCCCAGCCTGGTTCAGGCCATGGTCCTCCCCTGCTTCTTCATCCTTCAAGCTCCATTATCAGGCCATGGTCCTCCGCTACTTCTTCATCCTTCAGGCTCCATTATCAGGCCATGGTCCTCCCCTACTTTTTCATCCTTCAGGCTCCATTATCAGGCCATGGTCCCCCATACTTCTTCATCCTTCAGGCTCCATTATCAGGCCATGGTCCTCCCCTACGTCTTCATCCTTCAGGCTCCATTATCAGGCCATGGTCCTCCCCTACTTCTTCATCCTTCAGGCTCCATTATCAGGCTATGGTACTCCCCTACGTCTTCATCCTTCAGGCTCCATTATCAGGCCATGGTCTTCTCTTACTTCTTCATCCTTCAGGCTCCATTATCAGGCCATGGTCCTCCCTTACTTCTTCATCCTTCAGGCTCCATTATCAGGCCATGGTCTTCCCCTACTTCTTCATCCATCAAGCTCCTCTAAGCTGAACTCCCCCTTTTGCCGGTGCTCCTACTCCTGACACCAAGGCTCTACCAGACAGCCCTCATCTGCTATTTGATCCCTCCAGTCTGACGGTCATCACCCATCCCAGCTGGAACTCCCACTTTGGACTCCCCCCTCCTACTACAATTTGTAAAAGACGCCATTGTGCCAAGTGAGCAGTATGACGTCATTGCGCAACGAGGGCGCGCACTCAAGCCCGTGCTGCCCCCTGAGCAAATCCAGCTGGCTTCGGAACTGCGCATGCACAGTTCCGAAGTTGGTCGGCGGCCATATTTTTTTTTTTTTTTTTTTAGGGGCAGCCAGTGGCCATAATGGACATTTAGAGGACAGTGTTTTACAAACTGTCCGTAAATTTACGGTTGACAACCCTGCCTTTGAGGGTTTCTCCATGGTATGCTCTGGAAAAATATAAAAACATAATTGATAGATATGACCAGATGTTCTCTTCGGATGTCCCAACCTACTCTTCCCCTCCCAGGTCACCTCAACGTTTTCTTGTCAGAGGAGCAGGAACTAATGGGGGCTGGGGGAGGGGCATGCTCTTTACACAAAAACAAGTCTAGGCACTGGGTCAGGTGACCTCTGATAGACAAGAAGGTCCAAGTTAAGACTGAAGCTGGGACTCTTCCCCTCTTCAGTCAAAGGGCCTTTGGTCCTCCCAGATCACTTCTACATTTACACCAAGGCAGAGGAGCAGGAACCAATGGGGGCATGCTCTTCACAGAACCTCAAGCCTAGGTACTGGGTCAGGTGATCTCTGATAGACAAGAAGGTCCAAGTTAAGACTTGAAGACCCTCACCTCTGCTGATCTCTGTAGGAGTGTCCTCCTCTATGAATGTCCTCCTCATTCCAGCCTCCTCCGTATATTGCTGATCATCCCTCACATACGTCTCTTCTACTTCACCCTCAACTTTCATGTTCATCAGATCTTCACCCTAAACCAACAGAATGGCAGAAAATAACATCTGTAACATAGAAGGATTTATGATGGGAGATCACATAGAACATCTCATCTTGTAGTCTTGTTCCATCACTTTATGTTCCCGACCCTCAACTCCACCGACCTGATGAAGGTGAGGGATGGTGTGACCTTCCTGTGTGGAATCCCGGGAATAAAGAGGACGGGGACATCTCTCTGGTGGGTTCCTGGTATTAGGTGGCTCCATCATATCCTTGTGTCCTTCTGAAAATTCCTCCATCACTCCATACTCCTCATCCTCCTCTTTATACTCTTCTTTAATAATAATAATATTGTCATCTCCGAAGATTCCATGCTAAATAAGTAATAAAACATTCATTGTATCTAACACGTTTGTGTATAAATCATAACTACCAATAATTGTTCCTCATCTACCTGATGATGGTGAGGGATGGCGTGACCTTCCTGTGTGGAATCCCAGGAATACAGAGGACAGGGACTTCTCTCTGGAGGGTTCCTGTAGCTGGATGACTCCACCGTGGTGTCTTGGTACAGATCATTTAGGAACTCCAACTCCTCCATCCCCCCATCCTCATTATCCTCCTCTTTTATCTCTTCTTTAATAACAACTGTAGAATCTCTCAGGTTTCCTCTCTGAATATATAATAAAAATGACATCAATGGTAACAATGCAGATAATGTACAGATCCTAATGATACTATCAGTGATTGTTCCTCATCTACCTGATGATGGTGTGGGATGGTGTGATCTTCCTGTGTGGAATCCCGGGAATACAGAGGACGGGGACATCTCTCAGGTGGGTTCCCATGACTGGATCCATCTACCTGATGATGGTGAGGGATGGTGTGACCTTCCTGGGTGGAATCCCGGGAATACAGAGGACGGGGACATCTCTCTGGTGGGTTCTCATGACTGGATCCATCTACCTCATGATGGTGAGGAAAGGTGTGACCTTCCTGTGTGGAATCCCGGGAATTCAGAGGACGGGGACATCTCTCTGGTGGGTTCCCATGACTGGATCCATCTACCTCATGATGGTGAGGGATGGTGTGACCTTCCTGTGTGGAATCCCGGGAATACAGAGGACGGGGACATCTCTCTGGTGGGTTCCCATGACTGGATCCATCTGTAGGAAACACACACACTGACTGAATCCATTGTTTCTATGTGTTTATCAGATGATGGGGGATCTAGGTGGAGCCTCTGTACTGCTCTCTCCATTCCAATAAAGTCTCCTCT